TTCTCTCCAGTGTGGATGTTCATGTGTATCTTAAGGTGTGATGATTGTGTGAAACTCTTCCCGCACTGATCACAAGTGAACAGTTTCTCTCCAGTATGAACTCTCATATGAACATCAAGACTTGTTTTGCTTGTCAAACTCTTTCCACACTGAGTGCAGGTGAAAGATTTCTTGGCTTTTCTTTTGTTTAAATATTTCTGTTTGGTTTGAGAGCAACTCAAAGTTTTTTCTCCAGTTTTGACATGATTTTTCTCCCCAACTTCACTTGATTCTTCATTCTCCTCACTTTCTTCAATTGACTCTGAAATAAAAGCAAAAGCAGTTAATTTGTCAGTAACTTTGAAAAAAAAAAACAGAAATGTGAACGTACATAAAAGTAAACCCTGTTGTAACAGTGTAAAGAATTTCTGTAAAAAAAAAAAGTGTTCCTTTTGATGCAGTTTCATAAACTATTCTTCCCTGAAAATATCAAAATATCATTTTTAAAACATTATAGACACAAATCACAAGTTTCTATAAGGAGAACTATTCAATATGTTTGATAAACTACAAAATTATCTAACATACATTTTGTTGAAAAAAATACCTTATATATTTAAATAACACTGCATAGTCTTCACTATATAAATTAAATCTAATAAATCTGTGTTAAAGCTACAAAAGTGATTTTTCTTGTGTTTTGTTGTTTGATTAACATTCATAACACAGAAAGCCTCAGGACCATTAAACTGCTGTAAACCAATATACTGTTACACATCCATTTTCTTTCTCAATTGTTTCCCTTCACCTAAGCCATAAGCAACTGCGTTTACAAGGATACTTGCAGAGCACAGTTGTAATGTGGTGTTTTGGGTTGTGTTTCTTGTTCATGTTTTCATGTCTTTTATTTTGGAGTTTAATCATGGTCCCTGTTTGTGTCATGCTTCCCTTGCCCTCATGTATTCATGCCATTGGATGCTTCCCTTGCCTCATGTCTCTCTGCCTTGTGTATGTGTCATGTTCTGATTGGTTGTCCTAGTCATGTGTCTTGTTTTCCATAGGTTTGTTCTTGTCATGTGACCCTCTTTGATATAAGTAGCCATCATGTTTCCATAGTCTTGGTCGTGTATTGATGTTGTAACCTGCTGTTGGTGAGTCTAGTCTGTTCATGAACCCGCTGTCGGTGAGTCTAGTCTGTTCATGCCAAGTCAAGTCAAGTCTGTTCATGTCAAGTCAAGTCTGTGTCTCTAGTCTTCGTCTGTTTGGATTATTGTTTGGATGTTTGGATCACCTGTAAATAAACTGCACATGGGTTCTTCACTACTCTCGCCTTCAGTGGATGATTCGTTACAGAAATAAAAGACATGAAAACATGAACAAGAAACACAACCCAAAACACCACATTACAACAGTATTTCAGGCACAAATAGACGCAGAAATGAACAGAATTCAGTGTTCATGTGCATCTCCGTGGCTCTCACCGTGTCTACACTGGACGCGAGCGGCGCGAAAATACAATGAACCCATTATAATCAGTAATGCTGTCTACACTGGACACGAGCAGCGCAGCGCGACAAAATACAATGAACCCATTATAATCAGTAATGCTGTCTACACTGGACACGAGCAGCGCAGCGCGACAAAATACAATGAACCCATTATAATCAGTAATGCTGTCTACACTGGACACGAGCAGCGCAGCGCGACAAAATACAATGAACCCA